TGGTTAGAAAGCCAGCTGTGCGATGAGGGGGAAAGACTGCTGGGGGCCATATTGTGAATCATGAATTCGAGGCAAAGGTTAGAGTTTACTTACTAGGAATGTGGGCTTCAGTCAGGTCCTAGCAGGAAACCATGGACATGCTCACAATGGGTAACTGAGGCAAGTTTAATGAAGAGACCATTTGCAAAGGTGTACACATTATTAAGGGAAACCAGCAAGGGGTGTTGAGCACCCTGAAACTAGCAAGAGCATGCAGGGAACAGCACAGTGACCATCTTTAGGCCTGAAGGAGAAAAGGGAGGGGGCAGTTACCAGAAACCTGGTAATAATGGTAATAGGAAAGGGCCACCTAGCAGGAGCCGTGGCCTTTAATAGAGGGACAAAGTCAACTTCTATTGTTGTTGAGGAATAGATACCCCAATCTCACACTCTACTTGCTGCAATCTCCTTTCTCCCCTACACTGAGCCCAGCTGAAGCCAGCAGGAACAGCCCAGTGATGCAGTCCAAAATGTCATCTTCCTGGGGCAAGAACAGGGCACAGCAGGGTGTAGAATGAGTCTGTAGGAATCAATAGAAATATCTGGCATGATAGGGAACTACAAAAGATTTTGAATGAGAGAGCCCCACGAAATGTGCTGCAGTATTACTGAGCTGTCTGTGCCCATAGAATGGAGTGGGGGAGGCCCTTGCAATAGGTCTGGGGAGAGAGGCTAAAGACGTGGACTAGGGCAATGGTAGAGGGGGTGGAAAGAAATGTTTTGAACCATGCTACCTCCAGCTGGACAAGCTTTTTTCTAAAGTAGTTTCTTACTCAAATCTATTTTTGAGAGGTTATATATTTTCTAACCAGAAAAGTGATTTTTCCTGTTCATGGACTTTTCCTCTAGGTATGAACCTGTTTCAGGAGCTGGGCAACCTGACAGGATAGCCTCAAGAGGCTTCTGGACTCTGAACAAGGACCCTTTGGCCTGCAGAGCTTGACATTTGCACTTTTCAAATGCCTATGGATGACCCAGCACTTTAATCTGAAGACTGAAACAAGACTAGGCAGCACCTGACCATGGTGTACTTACAGGATATCAAGCGGCCCACCCCATCACTGATCCAGGCTGTCACCTCTGCAGCCTGTGGCCCTGAGCACTACTGCACTTTAGAAAATGACCCCCACTGGATCCTGGACCCCAGGGAGTATCCTGAAGCTCCTTCTTGCTGCCAGACTGAAAGCAAAGAAAATTATTTCCCCCTAACTTTCCAAAGTGATTTCCAGAAGCAGAGATGTGTGGAATTTCTAGTTACACAAATTGACAGATTGCCAATAGTCATTTTTATCTATAATTTCCTCTGGATACCAGAAGAGCCTATTGAGACTTTGAGCTTGCAGCCAGGGCTTTATACAAATTCAAGCCATAACTGACATGTTTTATGGCTTACTGAAATCTTTTAAGCATCTGAAGTTCTAATTAACAGAAAGCATTTAAGTACATATTAAGTACTCAGATTGTGGTGTAAAGGTACCAGGTTTTGTTTTGTCTTGTTTTTTTTAGATCTAAATCACAAAGCATTTGTTTTAGCCTGTAATGGCACCATGCTTTTTTTTTTTAATTACATCTCTTCTTCAAAAAATTCTGTTTTTTCAACCTTAGAAATCAATGATACACAGTAAAAAAAAAAAAAAAAAAAAAAAAAAAAAGGGCTTGCTAATATGTTGTGCCTGTAGAGATTTCAGATGAGATCTATAATTGTCAGAGTCCCAAACTAAGGCTCTGAATGACTTTAAATTTAACCTGTAAATTTAGTGCCTCAGCTTCCACATCTGTAATATGATGACGCTCACCAGTCAAGGCCTTTGATAACTGGCACTATGGAAATCCTGTGAGATTCCATTACACGTGTGTTGGGAGGGGAGGGTAACTGGGTTATAACAGGTTGTATTAAATTTGGTCTTTATATTAGAGCCATTGGCCCTTGAACTACCCAAATGTGTACATTAGCTAGTATAGCTAGGTTAGTGGGCCAAGAGCAAACTCTTATCTGGTTCTCAGACTGAGCAGAATTTGGGGTTAATGGGAATGAAGGGCTACAAAATTCAACAACAAACAGTACAAATCAGAGACTGCCTTTGAAGAATAAAACTGAAGTATTTATTTTCAAAGTGTTCCACATGTTCTACTTTTGGCTAAATGGTTTCATCAGGGCCCTTGCAAGTCAGTAAGTTTACTATTCGATCATGCCATTTGGCTCCCAAAAGTTTGAAAGCCTCTGAGGCACATTTGGATACCCTTCTCAGCTGGGTGGGGTCCCAGGAATGTTTCTCAGGTCCCATGTCTTGGTCCAAGGTTCCTGCTGGAGAAGCAGTACCTCCTATTGCCACAGAGATCAGGGTAGGCAGACAAGATCTTCTCCCCGGGAAGCAAGCCCACCTATGCTGAACCCCCACCACCCCACAGATATGTGATTGGCATGCTGAATCCCTGGATGGTGGTGCTTAACTCTATTAGGAACCCAGTGGCATAATGGCTTCTGTCAAAATACTGTCATCTTTGGTCCTAGAATGGGGCTATTTTCTAGAATGCCAAATAGGGAGAGGGCTACCCAGCTCCCGTATCCTGAAGTCTAGGCTTTGTCAGGGGAGAAGATCATAAGGCATTGTGTCTTAGCTTGAGAAATATTCTACACTACAGCATACCATCTTAACATCTAACATTTATCAAGTATTTATTATATGCCCAAATTATTAACATCTAACATTTATCAAGTATTTATTATATGCTCATTTTACACATACTATTCTGAGAAATATTCTACACTACAGCATACCATCTTAACATCTAACATTTATCAAGTATTTATTATATGCTCAAATTATTAACATCTAACATTTATCAAGTATTTATTATATGCCCAAATTATTAACATCTAACATTTATCAAGTATTTATTATATGCTCATTTTACACATACTATTAAAATGAATCCTCTCAAAACCCTCTGGAAAAGGTACTATTAATGACTCCATTTTACAGGTGAGGAAACTGAGGTACAGAAATTTGGTTAAGGCTGCCTATTCAGTTTGGAAGGGATAAAGCTAGGGCTATTAACCCATATTCATTACACAGCATAATGTGCCCTGATTTCCTACCAGATGGGACCTGAAGGTGGCACTTTACCAATTACATACATTCTCTGGTCTCTTTGCTGTCAAGGATTAATTTCACTCTTACTCATTCTGGGAAGATGCTATAGGGGGGTAAGGGGAGTGCAGTTTCTAGAGTCAGAGATTCAAACCTCAGCTCAATCATGTATGGGTTACACAACTTTAAATATATCACTTGACCCCTCTAAGCGTCAGATTCCTTATCTAAAAAAATGGCTATTATAAGAAAGGTAGTTGGCACCTTCCTTTATCAGGCACTTAGCTTGCGTAGCACACAGTAAACGCCTGGTAAATATCAAGTATCATTGGTAATCCCCCTACATACTGGTCACTACCCCTTGCCAAATAGATAGTGCCCAGGACATTACAATCTAATCTGCTGTAGAAGATTTCTCCTAAGTCCTACTGTTAAGGGAGCAGTGAGCTATGCTCTCCAAGAAATTTCCAGCCTATCAGATAGATTTTTTTGTCCCAGGACTCTCCCATACATGCCACGTCCTCTAGCAAAGTCAAAGGGCTCACTGGTCTTCAAGTATGCCTTACACTGTCCCCTCCACCAAGAATACCTCTTTTCTGGGACCTTAATGCTCCCTGGCAAAGTCCTGTCCATCCTTCAGACACCAGCTCTGCCAGTAAATATTTTCTGATTTTCTCCAACTGAATACAAGCTCTCTTTCCTTTGGGCACAGCAATGCTTTCTTTGTCCCTCTCTGAAAACAGTGATCTTTCTCAATTTTGAATCATGAGGATTTGAGCAAATGCTTTATTTTCTCCTTGGACTCCTGGAGGGCAAGGAGAAAGTGGGATTTTGTCACTCCCTCAGTACCTTGTATGTGACAGGTGCTTCATGCATGACTAGCTATGAGACTCATTATATACTGAGGAGAATGGCTACACTTAACATTCTTGCTTTTTATAACCTTAATATGATTGGCTAAAAAGTATACAATGGCAATCCTTAAAATAAAAGAGCTAGATGAGTTCTAAGTCTGTTTTTAAAAAGTACCTTTTACAAGAGCAAAAATAGCATTTGCGAGCATTTGAGGAATTGAGAAAGACCAAACAAACAAAAATCACCTATGATCTCATCGTCCAAGCACAAATATTTTTATTTTTGCTCTTTGTCCATTTATGTATGTAAGTTTGTCTATAACATGTAATTTTCTCTCCTTTTAAATTTGTCATCTGCCATGAGTTTGCACATATGTGGCTGACTTAGTCTTCCTAATTATCATTTTTAATGGCTGCATAATATTCTACTGAGCCCCAGTGACAAAGTTTAATTAACCATTTCCCTTTTGATGGAAGGTT